TACCGAGGCTGTTATTTGTGTTCTGAACTTAACGGGCTGGGCTAGGCAGATAGGAAGGACCGAATAGCACCCAAGACTGCTCGTACGATTTCAAGTATCATTTGCGTCCGATCAATAAATCCACTCCTCTCTAAATTGGCGTTCATATATTAAATTGGGCACTCATACGTTATATATTACGAGCGCACACGATATAACAGTAAGTATGTTAAACTATACATAAACTAACACGGCTGTCGCTAGTGTCTATAGCTATAACAATTTATTCATTTTATCTACCAAAGGTAATACGAAATTGGAGTTCTGATAAATCATAACACCTATTGATCGATAAAGTATGCCCACTTTCTGGTCCAATCATGTGTTTAATGGTGGCGCACATAAATTCGTAGTTCGGACGTTGTGTAGTTTATCCATGTCAACAAATCATTCTTTTAGGTGCAATAATTGTGAGATCATAACAATTTTCGGTTATGAAAGCATACTTTACACAAAATCATATAAAGAGAGGAAGAAATGTTGTATAGTTAGTTAACAGCGATGAGGAATTCAGAAGTTGTATGATTATAATTAATAATTAAGATGAAATCTAAGAGTATAAATGGAACTTAGAAACACAATTATTCAGTAATTTAATAAATATACAATATAAATGTAAAGCTATCAGTAACATTCCACTGTAGGAGGGGACAAACCAGATTCCATTGGAGGAAGAAATCACGAAGAAACCCTGGAAGAAGATAGAATACACATTGAGGAAACGACCCAACTGCATCACAAGATAAGCCCTCACATGGAATCCTGAAGGTTAAAGAAGAAGAGGAAGACCAAAGAACACATTACTTCGAGAAATGGAGACAGACATGAGAAGAATGAACAAAAATTGAATAGAAATAGAAAGGAAGACCCAGGTCAGAGTCTGTTGGAGCATGCTTGTCTGCGGGTTATGCTCCATTGGGAGTAACAGGAGTAGGTAAGTGAGTAATAAATGTAAAGAATAAAAGATAGTATCAAAAGTCCTAATGTATTAAATGCTCGTCTGATTATGACATGAGTGCTATTGAAATGCTTTTAGGAGAATTACGAGAAATGCTAATAAAGTGTAAAAAGAGGATATATAGAGCTAAAAGAATGAAGACGCGTCAAAAGAAAGGAAAGTAGATTAGGTTTAACATACTTGTGAATAGAACCAAAGAACAATAAAGCGTTTGGATATAAAAAAATACCACTGCTGTTTTCATGATTTACATTTTTTTGAAATTGCAAGTTAACCATTTGGCTTTAGTGTGAGTTTGATATTACTTGTAATAGTATTTCTCGGTTGAACACAGTATCAACATATGGTTTCTCACGTGAATCGAAAAAGCATCGAGGAGCAGCATCAATACTGTCGATAAGCTGTTATTTTCTTTATCTTTATACTCGATGATCAATGAGAAATGAATCATCTGAGAACTAGAATACAAATGTCTTTGAATATATATTTAAGTGATTGAATTAATTAGCTAATACATAGTAACAAACAACCAAAGTATAATAGAACTGAGCCATCAAAACTGGGCTGAACAAGTAATCGTACTTTTGTAGACGAACACTCAGGTGATGTAAATCAATTTAGTGTTGAATGCAACATCAAACAATGACATTGTAAAATATAAACATCATACATGAAATTCATCATTCACATTTCTTTCTTCAGTTGTCCTTTACATACTTCATTATTCTTACGATCACATTATTATTTCGATTGCTCTTCATTTCCTTTCCTCTTTTCCTCATTTCACTTTACTTCTGGTAATCATTTCACTTTGAATTCCCGCCCCATACTAATAATATCTGTTCGCATACAAGATGCACGCCACAATAATATTGGAATAACACCAGAACTAGATCTTTTTGTAGTTGAATTGGATTTATCAGACAATTGGAGAACGGTTGCTCAACTTCGTGAATTGGTTGAAGTTAGGCATTAACACCATAGATGCCGACTCAGTGATCTATCGGTTAAGTGCACTGGCGCGAGACTGGTAGGTCCTGGGTTCGAATCTCGTGAGGCGAGTTCATGGATGCGCACTGCTGAGGAGTCCCACAATAGGACGAGACGGTCGTCCAGTTCTCATTTTCAAGTAAACATATATCTATCAGGATTAATGATAGCATTATTATACTGACATTGGACACTGTCTATGAAGCTATGTTGATTTACTGAAAAACCAGACGCAAACTTAGTCGGCTAAGTATTCATCCTACGACAGATTGCAAAACGAATGAATTAGATGATCTAATCAAACTCATTCAGTGTACCAAGCGTGTTATTCAATTTAATCATTAAATCAATAAATCTAAATGCCACATCATCAATGAATCACTCTATTTATTGAATCTTGATTGAAAAAAAGATTTGAGAATATCTGACCTACCACTTAGTCATCGTTGTGACTATGCACCTCTTACATCTAGGATTAGTCTAGCAGTAGATATTAACTATGTAGTATCTGATATAGCTTCCAGACCAACAGGCTGGAATCTTTAAGGATCGGTCGTGCACAGGTCCAATCGCGACACTACGGATCATCGTCAAACAAACAGTTTAGTGGAACCTGTCACTATGCATAAACCCCTTTGATTATGAGAAGGCTTTTGACAGTGTCGGCAGAAGAATGTTATAGAAACTTCTTTGATACTATGGCATGCCTGAGAAGACAGTCAATATCATACGGAATTCCTATGGTCTAGTAAAATGCAAAATCTTGCATGGAGGACAGTTGACAGATTCATTCGAGATAAAGACCGTGTCAGGCGAGGTCGCTTACTCTCACCCTTTCTCTTTCTCCTAGAGATTGACTGGATCATGAACACCTCAACATCTGGAGGAAAGCACGGGATACAGTGGACAGACAGGATGCAGTTTGACGATTTAGACTTCCCAGATCATCTGGCTCTTCTATCACAAACGCAACAACAAATGCAGGAGAAAACGACCTGTGTAGCAGCAGCCTCAGCAGCAGTAGGTCTCATGACTCGCCGATATAATACAACATGCAACAATCGAATCAGGCTTCACGGAGAAGCTTTTGAGGACGTATAAACCTTTACATATCTGGGCAGTATAATCTATGAACCTGATGCAGAAGACGCGGATAGGCGAAGCAAGAGCAGAAGATCTTCATTTGAAGAACATCTAGAACTCAGAACAATTGTCAACCAACACCAACATTAAAATTTTCAATACAAGTGTCAAGACAGTTTTACCATACGGGACAGAATCTCGGAGAACTACGAAAGCGATTATCCAGAAGATACAGGTGTTTATTAACAGTTGTCTACGCAAGATAATTCGGATCTGTTGGCCAGACACTATCAGCAACAACCTACTATGGGAGACAACAAACCAGATTCCGGTGGAGGAAGAAATCAGGAAGAAGCGCTGGAAAAGGATAGGACACACATTGAGGAAATCACCCAACTGCGTCAAAAGGCAAGCCCCCACATGGAATCCTGAAGGTCAAAGCAAAGGAGGAAAACAAAAGAACACATTACGCCGAGAAATTGAGACAGACATGAGAAGAATGAACAGAAGTGGATAGAAGTAGAATGGAAGGTCCAGGACAGAGTGGGTTAGAGAATGCTGGTCGGCGGCTTATGGTATATTGAGAGTAACAGGAGTAAGTACGTAGCTAGGTAAGTAAGCAAGTAAGTAAGCATCTTATACATATTATCCAATTCAGGACGAAATAAACTTGTACTGGATCCATCCGGCTGGTTTTGAAGTAAGTTTCTAGCGATGCGTTAACCAGTGAATATTCTGAGTAGACACGATAAACAACTCAACATCATGTGACCAACCCTAAAAGGTTTCGGCACCTCCAGCACGACAGATCATTTTGACACGGGTTTAGATTTTACACGGTTGTTTTTTGCTTCTAAGACAAACAGGATCATGTATTTGAGTGGTTTTAAATCATAGTCTTTATCATTCAGTGTAAAGTCATTTAATGAATTATCTTACCACACGCGATTCCTGTGCAATGCCAAGGAATTTTGATGACAGTTTAATGGCAGATACTTAAAAAAATGAGATTCCATTTACTTCCCTTAATCCCAATAAAATATTATCATCTTGAGTAAACCTGGACATCTGAGTGATAAAACATTTCAGTACTTGATAATCTCCATAGATTTTGATATCAAGGAACTGTTGCATCCTGAATTTATATTGAAATCAATCAGCCTTACTGAATATCTGAAAGGAAAATTAAGTATGTGAGTACAAATAAAGGTGAATAATGACCCCCCCACTAAAAACTAATTCTGTAAGTCTTCGACATTGATTCTGAACTCATTAGTTTTACTCAACACTTCCTAACCAAAGATGCTCAGTCACTCGTCCTCGTCAGATCACTATTGTGTACGCCATCCTAAACATTCCTCCCAACAACTAGCCAGACTAGATCACACGCTTGTCAACATATTGACAACTCCGCCAACAATACCATTGAACTCCTTCATTCCTGACTTCTGATTTGTCTAAGTTAATATTTTCCGAACATAAAGTTGCAACCCACAAAAGCGTTGTCAAACCCTGAATATATATGGTATTTCTAGACTGAATAATACCTACCGACATACCGATTACATCCTTGATATATCTTCAAACTCCTTCATTTCTTGACTTCTAGTTCGACTGAGTTCGGGATTGTTCTATTAGAATGGTGTTACAGACAAAAACGCTGCCAAGTCCTGAATGTCTATTGTGTCTATACACAAAACGATTATCCTCCATGTGCGAACCCTGCTTATGAAATCGTGGAACACAGAGCAATATATTCTTTCATTGGAAAGTAGACAAAAGTACATCTCGATGTTAGACATTAGGAAGCAACCTATTACTGACAGAAAGCAATGAGATTATCTCCTAAGTTAACACTAGAAACTACAGTACTGTTCAAGCCTCAATATATCTACCGTTCATTTCGAATGTTACTGAAGAAGACAGGATTAATAAAATATCATGTATATTTGAATTAATATTTTCATAGAACAAAAAAAAATTACTGTTTTGTATAAACTGATATTATTTCAAAGCAAATTCAATTAATCCAAAGATGCAGAGAGTGATGCATCTCGTACACGTTGAAGAAAGACATTTAAACCTAAAATTGTATACAAATAGAAAATGTCAATAAAGGGTTGTGGAGATTATTGATTTTTGATTGTGATCATGAATGGATGAACGTGACACCTCTATTGAAAACCTATGAGTACTGGATGGCCTTTTCGTCACAGTATAGGACTCCTGAGCAATGAACTTTCACGATCCTACATACAAAACCAAAGATACTTTATTCGAATCCCACAAGCATGATCATGGATGTTCACTGCTCAGAAGTCACATACTAGAACGAAACGGTCATCCAGAACTCTCAGGTTTTCAATCATGGTTTAACATTAATTCATTCATAATTCCAATCATAATAGAAATGGATAGGACAAAACAACTTACATTGACCACCTGTTCCTTTAATATCAAGTTGTTTTATTTTAGCCTCAGCACTCTGTGATGGTTGTATAATGAATCTAATAAGAATAATTATTATGTTTCAAATAAACTAACATTGAATCTATAGTTACCTTTTAACTAATGATATGTGAGCATTTCGAAAATTCCACAATGATTGTAGACATTGATTATAGGCTGTTCTCATACGAGAAGATTTGCTTTCACTAGCTATAAAATGAAGTTACATTTGAGTTAAAAGTGATTTGATGAAGTATGATCATGGTATAAAAAGAGACTGTTGTGGCAACTAGTTAAACAGAGTTAATTCAAAAACACAAAACACCTAATCTAAACTGAAAGAACAGACAAGCTGACTCTTTCTGCTCAATCAACCTCCTACCAGAAGTTTGTATCATGACTTGTATCGAATCATTCAAATTTCATAGCAAAAACACATAGTTACCGAATTCAAATCTTAATACTGCTTCTTGTAAACTTTACTCAATGTTCAATATATATAAACTACATTCATTGATCACCATCATCTACTTATCTCATTTCAAAATTTCAAAAACATTTCAGTGGTATATTTAAACACTGAATATAATAGACTCAGTGGTCTATCGGTTAAGTGCTCTGGCTCGAGACTGTTAGATCCTGGGTTCGAATCTCGCTCGTTAGGCGGGATCGTGGATGCGCACTGCCACTGAGGAGTCCCATAATAGAACGAAACGGCCGTCCAGTGCTTCCAGGTTTCTCACGGTGCTCTAGCTTCGACTGACTCATGATTTCAACTAAGAAAATTAATTACAAAAACTACATTTCATTTTAATGTAGAACCTTTATTGAATAAAGAATCTATATTTAAGTCGTATACTTCACTTTAATGGTTTATGGTAGGTACTCGATAGTAATCTAACTGACGTCTTTCTCATAAGAAAATAAGTTTACATCAATTTGTTATCATTCAATAGATCCAATGTCCTGTTTGAGGAAAATCAATAACACTCATCTATGTAATCAGAAACATGATGACTAGTAAAAGCATTTGAAGTTCCGATTATGGTGGATGCATGAAACTGACTCTTTACAAGATTGAGAAAACATCAGTCATTGTGAATTAAGAATAACTATGGTGAATCGCGCTTTATTTACTAATATTAGTCAAAGTAGATATATCTGTTAGTGAAGCCACTTTCCGATGTTAACTCGAGAATAGATATAGTTCTTAAATAAATTAGCACACTTATATGAAGGTAGTATGAATACTTTCATTCAATGAGCTTGAGTAAAGCTTTGCAAATTACTAGTATATATATTCTTAGTCTTATACTTCTTAAAAGTTTAAGTGAATAGAAGCGATTTCGTAGGATCTGAGAAGTGTTAGGTTGAAAGAAATTCAGTTGATTTTTTTGGTCACTAAGATACAATGAGAACATTAAAAAGCAAATGACGAATATTCAGCATTTTGCATACTCAGTGAAACTTTAAGTCTTTGTTGGTTAAAGGTATTAAACAGGAAACTCTGGATTTAGGTTAGCACTCATCAGCAAAGCATTTTTCAGAGAACTGGATCTCCATTTGTGTTTGAACCTGATCACTTACTTTCACCACATGAGACGTTACTACTAAAACATAAGGGTTGAAACTGATCACCTGTATGATTGGAATATTTACACTGGTTGATTACCGAACGATAACCAAAATCTTGATTCTCCACTTCTAATTTGTATACGAACAATAGATTAAACACTATTTAAGTAACTATAAGTGAAGATAGAATACAAAATCGATTGATAGTCTACCGAGTGTTGGAATCTCGTGGGATGTGTTGTATGTGTAATGCGAAAACCACAGTTTATTATTGGTTTAGTATATCTATTAGTTTATCAATCATGAGCTTTGAACTAGATCTAAAATTAGTCTATGAAAGACTAAAGAGATCCATTACTCACTTTTAACAGACGTGAGGAATCCAACGCCATATCAATGTGTAATTATGTAAAAAACATGAAATGTCTTTCACTGATTGAACCGCACACTATCAATGTGTAGTGGATAAATCTATTTCACTCCTTCGTATGATTTCTAATTGATTACTGATACAATTTGATTTATTATACAGTTGAGGGGTTTTTTCTTGCCTAAAACCAACCCTCTTTCTTCAAAATCAATCTATTATAATTTCTAATCTCTTATAGTGTTTCTTAATAAGAATTCACCTGTATAGCACTCATAAATTGATCGGAATGTCTACTGCAATAGAGATTGAACTCAGTGTCATTCAACATTGGAGACAAAATATTATTGAAGACATGATAGGCAAAGATGGATAGTGGCTAGCAGTGGAATCCACGACACGCGTTACTTCGTCATATCTGGGACTCGTCATATGTATCTACCTTCATCTGAATTGATGTTCACTCTGGAACTCCAACTCAGTACCTTTCGCTTCAAACGTCATCGCGTTATCCACTCGGCCACTGAGTCCTGATAGCCACTTGCTTATGCAATGGGGTAAAGTTTAAATTCACTTAGCATCTTTGCTTACCATGCTTGTGAATTAAGGCTATATCAAGGCAATACGCACAGTATGCACATATGCCAATTAGAGACTGACCAGTTTCAGTCCTAACACATCGATGAGAAGATTCAAACAAACAATACTAACTGAATTATTGACGACATATTGAAATTATCAAACACCAGGTTCTTTCTAATAGGATAATATATTGAACTAGTTTCAATATAAGATATAAGTGCAAACTATGTATCATAAAGCAACATTTCCTTTAATTAATCATTAAAACTTACCTATAGAACGGATTCGACTATGCATTGCTAGATCGTGAATAAACTGTCGATGTTCTCTTATCATATAAGTCTGCATATTACGGAAGAGTTTTTCATCCTCTTGAAAAATAAAATCAATATAAATAGAGAGGTATTTGATTCATAGTAGATGATAATCATGATTGGATGATGTAAGATAGATGTCTACACCAATTATTCCATTGATTAGGGTAGAAAATATATATATATTCATAGAAAAGATTTTTCTCATAGTTGTGTATTCAGCTAGTCATTATTTTTACTTTACTGAATTCCTCTTATAGCTCTTCTAGGGTTACTATCAGTCTCAAGATTGTGTAAATGAGGAGGGTTGTATATGGGGTCAGAATCCCTATTTCGTAGAATGCAAAGTTGAGAAAAAAACTCTAACCAGAATAAACAAATAAAACCTTTCAAACTCTGACCTACAAATTGAAGGTTTTTCACTCAGAAGAAATGTGATACCTCATGATGAAAGCCATGGATGATGCCTCTTCCAAATAGAACATCGATTAATATAGGTACATGAAATTGATCCGGACAATATGGAAGACTTGGATGACCAATCAAATAGTTACGGAAATGAAGAGATGCAACTTGGTTGTGTTCAGAGAAACTGAATCCCATCGGACCCAAACTGAATAGAAAAGGATAGATTTGGGAGAGATACTTCTGTACTTTAGTCACGAAGAGGAAAATGCTCCACATATTCAGAGGATTTATCTGACGATGTCCATATAAGCACTTATAGAATGAGAGTCTCATGGATGCAGGATCATCAATGCATCATTCAAAAGAAAGAAGGAGTAAATTACAATTAATGTAATCTGATTTTATGCACATAACAATGACAACGGTGACGACGATCAAGATCAATTCTACCAGAGGCTGCAATCGATCATAGAGAAGTGTTCAGGAAATGACCTAACCATCCTGATGGGGGATCTAAACACGAAGGTCGGAACACCAGATATGAAGATATCATGGAAGATATGAGAACCAAGAGACGAGTTGACATAGCTTCAGATCACTCCAGACTAAACTGAAGCTAGAGAAACATTGGACAAATTAGGAAACAGAATTACAATGATTCAATATAGCCTTCCTTCAAGACTTTAACAATTTTAACGAGTTCAAGATAACTCTCAACGTTAAATTCCAAGTCTTAAATGGTCTACTCAAAGAAGAAGGAACTACTATGGAGGATAACAGTAAAGGAACCAGAGAAGCAATAACTTCAACGTGTCAGAATGTTCTGCTCCTCAACATGCATCATCATAACTAATGATTCTCTATCGAAATCCTAGGCACGATTTAAGAAAGGAAGAAGAAGAAACAGACAGGAACTGACTATAGCCGAATAAGAACAGAGAAAATCAAGGTACAAGCTGAATACACTGAAGCAAACAAGCAAGCTGACAAACAGAAATATGTGGAAGACATAGTAACCATCATCAAGAACGAACAAGTATGTCAAAACGATTGTCTTCACGTGATTCTCAATGTTCATTGACCGGATACCATCAGCAACAGTCTAATTTGGAGAGAAAAAACCAGCTTCGAGCTCAAGAGGAGATTAGTAAAAGACGTTGCAAGTGGATAGGACATACATAACACAATTTGATGTAGAATACTAGGGAATCGCCCATGTTCCTCTACGAGGCGTAACAGAGTAAGTATTAAACTATAAAGCATATGAAAGGAAATTTTGTAAGCACGCATCGCTTCTTTTTGCTAATTTATTGATACTTATTTTTTATACCTTCAAATAACGTTAAAGTAGTAGGACTCCTGCCGAATTCCATTGAACAATATATGATTGTACCTCCTTCACAGTTGATGACATACTCAATTATTATATAACTTGCACTGTGTGATCCCGACTTTATCCAGGAATTTAATGTAAGACAGAACCATGTAAAATTGCGTTTTATGGGAAGCTCCATCAGATCACGTTATCTCATTAAACGGTTCACCGAAGATTTAAGCTGTAGGCCATGCAAACAACCGTAATAGTCAGTTCTTGGGTGAAAAAATTAGTAAAACTCTCATATCTTCATTCTAAACACATATATCGAATTTATCATTAACATTGAAATTATCACAGTCTTTCATTATGAAATACTTCCTTTCCACAGCTTCACATACTCTTTTGTTCCCAACACACAGATAGTAATCGTGTAGAATACATAATGAAATAATAAAGTTAGAAATTGAAGAGGGTTTCAGGGTAGAATGGATTACTTACCAGGATGATGTTTTATCTGGAAAAATGCATCACATGTTTGAATCGTTATTGACTGTGCTGCACTTGCTCCAATGCATTTCCGTCGATCCATGTTGTCAGTATAATTTTGACCAGAAAATGGACAACTCGATTTGACTTTCTCATTCTCTTTATTATTATTATTATTATTATTATTATTATTATTATTATTATTATTATTATTATTGTTCATTTGTTGTGAGTTTGTTTCGTAAATTAAACCCTTGTCTTTAAGTTTTCCATGAGACCACCTGTAAAATATGAGATCACATCATCAGTTCAGTGAATGAGATATTCATTTCAGAATATATAAACGACAGTGAAAACTCTAAATATAAAGAAATCATTCACAATTCATTGATCACCAGGTGGTGATCAATATCATGTGTGTCAAGTCCTTCTTAGTGCTGATCGAATGCTATCGTGAATACTTCTCAGTCCTACAGGAGGTCGGTCGCGCCCCGAGTAGCTCAGTGGTAACGTCTCTGATTGTGAAGCTCAGTGACACGGGATCGAATCCGACAAACAGCATCAGTTCCCTCAAGATTACATGTACACCTCGCTGACGAGTGCCAGGTGGCACGAAACCCGGGTCCAGGGTTTTTTTCTGTTGACCACATCCAACCATCATCTTATCTCAAAGAAATCATTTTTTGATAAACATTTCAGTGAAATATTTCAACAATTCTTCACATGGTTTTCAACAAACTAGCAAACTACTTCAATGGTGTAAGATCAAATCGGAATTACAGTTTATGAAAATTTCGGAAATCTCATCACAAGTTTATAATCGTATCAAATCAATTCTAATGTACATCGACGTTGGATGAACTGCAGTCATAATAATAACAATAAAGTAATTAGACTTCACAGAATATAATTGACGAATGTTATTAATGGTTGAGTAATATACCTTTCCTAAATCCGTCATTCAATAGAAGAAATAAATGGAACTTAGTACATTATACCATAGTTTCTGTTTTTTTGAATTTCACTTTTCAATTGAACAAAGACGTTAGCTGAATAACCACTTACATACAAGACTAACCAAACTATTATTGAACAAACTTCTCAGTTCATTTAGTATTGTTTATCGAAATCTTTCCATTTGATGTTTAGAACTACAATTGGTCAGTCTCTAATTAGCATATAGCCTTAATTCACAAGTATTGTAAGCTAAGATGGATAGTGGCTTGCAGTGGGAACTGACCAGTTGCAGTCCTAAAAACATCAATGGGAAGATTCGAACAAACAATACTACGTGAATTTAAACTTCACATCATTGCACAAGCAAGTGGCCATCAGGACTCAGTAACTGAGTGGATAACGCGAGGGTGTTTGATGCGAAAGGTACTGTGTTCGGCTGCTGTGGTGAACATCAACCCTGAGATGCAGGTCCATCCATATGACGAGTCCCAAATAGGACGAACAGCGCCTTGTCCTGGATCCCACTGCCAGACACTATCCAACTTAGATTACAAACTCCTCAGTTATTGAAATAGAATTGCATGAGGAGTGAATATAGAAGGTTTTACATTTCACACAGAACATCTTATTATTACTATTATTAAATGAACTAATGACACTTCAATAATTTGTCATACGATTTTGCAC